GTGGAAAGTTCCATTAGCGAGCTCACCACTATAAAAGTCCATCTGATTCCGCTCCATCCATGATCTCGTGACCCACATGTTCAACATATAAGCTAAACTTACAAACATGAGAATGAATGTGATAGACTCATTTATGGTTCTATTCATCATGAACTACCTACCTGTCAAGTTTGACCAATCCTAGGTGAACTATAACACCATTAAAGATAAATGAGATTGTAAGCAAATTAAGGCTATGCGTGTAGGAAGAGGTGGGAATAAATGAGATGAAAGAAGAGTCGATTCATTTTATATCTCATGTGAGAGCCAATAATAGTAAGATAAAATGGGAAATAAAGGCAAATAAAAGGAGATTGGCTTACTTGAAGTTTTTAAAGGTCCAATCATTAAAGAAATGAGGTATTATTTCTGTAAAATGTTAGGCCACCTCATGAAAGATTGCCCGAAATAAAATCTGATTTGAAAAGAAAACATACATTAATTTTCGTATGTTGTGAATCAGATTTATTAAAGATTCCCAATAATACTTGGTGGCTTGATTCTGTGCAACTACTTATGTATGGAGTTAAACGTAGTGCACATAATTAAAATTCTACTCTCTGATGGCATTATAGATTATGGTCACATATCCAAAGAAAAGTTTTGAGAATAGTGAATAATGAAACCATTTGGATTTTAGTGATCAAGATGTATGTATAAAATGAATTAAAGAAAAGCAAACTAGCATACATTAAAGAGATCTGCCAAGAGAAGCATTAAAATCTTATAACTTATGTACATTAATTTTTTGTGGTCTATTCAACATCCCTTTGTGGGGTGATGTAAAGTATTTAATCACCATTATAAATGATTTCTCATGTTATAGTCTACTACATGAAAAGACTCAATCATTGGACTATCTAAAGATATACAATGATGAGATGGAGAGGTAGTTAGATAAATAAGTAAAAGTTGTGAGATCTCCTTAGATTGGTGAATATTATTGTAAGTTCAATGAAAGAGGATAATATCCTAGTCCATTTGCAAAGTTTCTTGAAATTTGAAATATTTGTGTGCAATACAATATAACTGAGACTCTTCAACATAATGGTATTGCTGAGAGGATAAACCGTACTTAAAGAATATGGTTAGGAGTATGTTGAGAAATTCAACATTAACTTTTTTTATGTGGACTGCTGCATATTGGGTAAACAAGGTTCCTAGTAAAATAGTTCCTTTTATGAACTATGGAAGGGTAGGAAACCTAGTTTGAGGCATCTTCATGTTTGAGGGTGTCAAGCAGAAGTAAAAGTATATAATCCACATGAAAAGAAACTTGATCCTAGGACAGTCAGTGGTTTTCTCATTGGCTATTCGGAAAAGTTCTGAAGGATATAAGTTTTATAGGCCTAATCATAGTACGAGAATAGTTGATTCCAGCAATGCTCGATTCATTAAAAATGATCAAATCAGTGGGAGTTTGGAACTACAAAGTTTGGATGTCAAATAAACTCGGGTTGAACAGTGTTAACCTGAGAGTCCATCAATGGTTGTTATTCTTTTAGTTACAGTACCGTCATGTAACTTTGATGAATAAAAAAATGATCCAAACTCACTTGATAATGAATCATCACAAAGCAATCAAGAAATTATAGAACAACCTTTGGTTGATGAAATCACAAGCCATGAAAAGTGAAAATTCTGTAAAAGTTGATCAATGCTATGAAAGAATAATTACAGTCAATGGATGACAACAAAGTTTGGAATTTAGTAGAATTACCTGAAGGGTCTAAAAGAGTTGGGTGTAAATGGGTTTTTCGAAACCAAACACGACTTTAAAGGTAATATCGAAAGATATAAAGTTAGACTTGTTTCTAAAGGTTACACCCAAAAGGAAGGCATTGACTACAAGGAAATAATATCTTTTATTTCAAGAAAGATTCCTTCAGAATTGTAATGGTAATGGTGGTTCTGTATGATTTTGAGCTTTATCAAATGGACACAAAGATCACCTTCTAAATGATAAACTTAAAAGGAGATCTACATGAACTAACTAAAAGTTTTTGAGATCACAAAAAATGAAGCGTTAGTGTGTAAGTTGAATAGATCGATATATGGACTAAAACAAGCCTCTCGTCAATGGTATCTTAAGTTTAATGATATCATCACTGCTTATGGTTTTGTAGAGAATACTGTAAATTGGTGTATCTACATTAAGGTCAGTGGGAGTAGATCTGTTATTTTAGTTCTGTATGTCAATGACATATTTATAGTTGCTAATAATGTGGACATGTTGCACGAAGTAAAGAATTATCTCTACGAAAATTATGAAATAAAGGATATGGATGAAACGTCCTTGGTAATTGGAATAAAAATATTCTAGAATAAATCACAAGGACTAAAAGTTTATCCTACAAAAGTTTTATTCGAGATTTTGGAGATATTTACAATGGATGGTTGTTCCATATAATTCCAGTTCATAAAAGGGACACATTTAGTCTATAATAAATGTCCGAAAGGTGAAATGGAATGAAAAAGTGATGGAGGGAATTTCTTAGATATAAATGATTAGGAATCTTAAGAAGGACAAACCTGTACTAGGTTTGATAACATATTTGTTGCTGGTATGTTAAGCAAATATAAAAGTAATCCCTAAATGATTATTTAAATGCTGCAAGGTTTTTTAGAGTATTTACAAGGCATTAAAGAACACATGCTAACTTAAAGAAGATCCAAATTATTTGTTATAATTGGATAATCGGATTCAGACTTTTGCTCATAATTTCTAAAGGAGCAAGATTATGGAAAAGTGGAACAAAGTCCATCATCGTGACTTCCACGATTAAGTTTGAGTTTGTGGTGTGCTTTGAGGCCACAAGTCAAATTTAGGGCTACGGTGCTTTATCTTAGGACTTGGAAATGTCGACATCTTGTCCAAGCCGCTAAGAAATTTATCGCAGTATCGTAGCAATAATATTTCAAGGAATGGCAAGTATGAAAGGGTGTGAATCACATAAAATTGAAATACTTGGTCGTAAAAGTAGAAGTGAAGAACTGAAGTGTCATTTGAGCATTCTAGTACTACTTGCATGAAAGCGGATCCATTAAAGGGTTATTCCCTATAGCCGTTGCAAGGCATATAAAGAAAATTGGGAATAATGAATGGGGCCTTGTTGGACTGACCGATACTGAATGAAATTACTCAATTAACGATTTTGACACTTGTTGAATTCAATTAAAGATGTTTGGTTCTTCACATACAATATCATCATTATGGATATTTATTTTATAGTGTATACATAAAAGTTGGATGACTTATGGCTATGGTACGAACTGTTTGTTCCATATTAAAGTAAAATTGAATTAGAAATGATTTGTGGTACATGGAAGGGATCATGTCCCTCGAAGACTTGTGACCGCCATGACTCGGTTAATTTCTATTTTAATTTTAAATTTATATATATATGTATTCAATTATAAGTTTGATGAAAAGTGCGCGCTTAAAGTAGTTCTTTGAGTTTCGACACTATATGGTCCAAGTGGGAGAATGTAATAATATTTTATATTATTCTATTATTGTGGACCATATAATTAGTTGGACCTAATTGAATTAATAGTCAAACTTATTTAAGGTGAATATGTATTTAATGGATTATTAATGTTCTAATATTAAAGAGTCCAATTTGTGATGTTTGACTTGGACATTAAGTTAGGTTAGAACATGGGGAATGTTAGTAGGAATAGATATGTAGGACTCCTCCTATATATACTACATGTCCCTCTCTCCCATCTCATATGAAATAAAGTTCTCAACATCAAGGACTTTATGAAAAGACGAGAGACGCGGGTGAGAGAAACAATTCATAGGCAAAGGTGAATCCATCATTGGAGATTATGAGAAAACAATTCATAGGCAAAGGTGAATCCATCATTGGAGATTATGAGAAAGATAGATCCATGAGATTACAAGAAAGAGATCGCAGATCAACATCATAGATCAAGAAAATAGGGAAGGACTATAAGCTGGATTCTTGTAAGTTCTATGTGCAATTTAATTTATGCAAAAGATCCATATTCTATGAATTGATAGAATTACATGTTTAGGGTTTATTCAATTTCGCCTAATAGTTGTGAATATACCCGTTAAATTTCTTACATAGGTGACATAATCCAACATAAATTTTTCATGCAACTAGAATTGAAGAAGGCATATACATAATATTGTTTCCTTATTATGCTCATATCATCCATCTACATAATCTACCACAAATAAATTATAGATACCAAACAATTGTTTTTTTTAATCCACTTCTATGTAGAATCTAATCCATTCTCTATAAACTCTGAGTTGCTGCATAATATCTTTTAAAATGATCTCAAATCCTATTTAAAAATAGAAATTTTATGGAGTCATCGGATGGTTTTCTTATGCAGTCATCCATCACTTTAAGTATTTACACATATCCAAAATATATTTATTGTAGGACAAGTATCAATACACTATTTGTGAATAAGTGTGGATGGCTCCATAAGTCGTGCCATCCAATTGCCCCATAACAAAAGTGACTTAAAAAAAGGTATATATATGAGAATACAATTTAACGTCTTAGTAAAAAATGTTACGGCTACTCTAATATACCATCACGCTGTCAGGATACATTACGTTTAAGTTATGTAAAAACAATAGGACGGTTTATTTTGTGAAATAAATTGGGAGAGAGAAATTTATACTAAAAAAAACAAAGAAAATGAAGTAAAAACGTTGGGGTGGGAACAAGATGTCATCACTAAAAACAGAGATATGAAACCAATTTTCCTCTCTCTCTCTCTCTCTCTAAATACTCGTTCAACCCCAATTCAAAAACCTAGCGGACCCTAGCACTCATCGGAGCCTCCCTTTCTCCGACAAACCGCCCTCGCTGCTCCGATTAGGCTCTTGGGCTGTAGTCACGTCTCCTTGTCAGCCGTTTGTCCCTCCCGATGAGGTGTTTCGCCTATTATTTCCCAATTGGTCGTGGGGGATGTTCGGGGCTATTGGCTTGCGGGTGATTGTGTCAAGGCGAGCTCCGGCCGCCGTGCAACGGTGGCTGGGGTCGAGAAAAGCTTTTAATTTGGACTTTCATTCCTCATCTCGTCCTGGTGCTGGGCTTGGAAGGGTCCTCTGGTGGCGGCTCCCGACGAGGTTTGTGCGGGTTCGTGGCCTTCGGGGTGGGCAGAGGGTGGATTAATTGCGGGTCTACAAGGCCTGTACAGATGGTGGCCACTCGGTAGGTCGTCGATCCTGTTGGATGGGTTTGAGTGCCGGGGGGTCCCTTTTTAATCGAGTGTTGCGGATGCCAAGTGCGCATGTGTGGAAGGGAGGGCTGTAGTTTTCTTAGTTTTTCTTCTTTTGTTCCTTGTTTGTTTGTTTGTGTGTTGTAGGTTTTTTGGTTTTGTGCTTTCTGTTGGGATCAATGAGGATCTCATTATGTACAAGTCACAAATTCAATAGCAACAATAAACCAATGCGCAGTGGATCTAGAGGTTTAGGGTTGAATGATTACGGCTTAAAATTCGCAGACTTTGAGACGTTGTAGATTACCGTTGTAGAAAATCATCTGATCTCAAAATCCGTTGGGCAGCCGGACTCTTCTCGTCGGACTCGGGAAGCTCACGGGACGATGGCCGGGAGCAGCACGTGGGTCGCGGGGTCGCTGGCGGTGTGAAAGGATGTCGCGCGGTCGTGGCGAGGTAGTGATGTCGTCGGGCTGCGCGGTCTCACGGTGGCGTCAGCGTGCGCGGGCTGCGGCGGTGGGCCGCTGTAGCTCGCGGCGGTCGACGGTGGTCGGCCGACGGTCACGGGGTTGATCGTCGGTTGATGATCACGGGGTCTCGGTACCTCGGGATCTTCTACTGTGTATCTCGAACACCTCTTCCAATTGTACCGGTGGAAAAACAAGACGATGATAAAGCTCGACTCTGGGAATTAGAGAGAGGAAGAGTGCAGCCAAACGTGTATTACATTAGGTTATGTGTGTCTCAATCCCATAAGCCTAATGATGTATATATAAAGCTACAGTAGGGATCCTAAGGAGATGAGGACTAGGACTCCTAAGGAGATGAGGACTAAGGCTCCTTAAGCATTGGGCATAACTGTGAGCTAAACCCACTCTTGCCAATACTTTACTAATGTTTCGGTCCACTGACGAAAACATTACTGAACTCTCTTATCCTCCTCGAAATTATATTTGAGACTCCAATTATAACTACTCGAATTACCTCCCCACGTTTAAGATATAATGTCCATTAGTTAATTCAATTACTGATAATCAAGAGCTAATTATTATATTATATGGTAACGCAAAACACTCCGATCGGCTTGAAATTGGCTCGTCTTCCTCCTCCTCACCGGTAGAACGCCGCGTACCTGCAAAGAACTCTCACACCGGAGGGGTTTTCTGGTGAAGAGCCTCCGATGCTTAAGTCAGTATACGTTTCACTCAATTTCTCAAGAGTAAAAATGGATATATCGTTTCTAACAAGAAAAGGCTCACCCCTCTATATATAGGGGTCAGATACCTGCCCTAGGAGGTGCCCGAATTTTCTGAGCTGTCTGCCTAAAGATGCCCGCCTGTACACACGCAGTGTGTGTGTGTCAGAAGTGGTTATCGCCACTATCACTGTGCGCCAGTATATCCTCGCCACATGTCCTCTGCACATGAGTAATTATTCCTTGAATATTCCTCGGAAATTTCTTGGGAGGCTCGCGCGCTCCCTCACGTCTGGATCACGCTCCCGTTTTCTCTTCACTCGCGAGGTGGTCGATTCGATGATCTCTTGCTCAATAGATCGATCTTCGACCAGATCTGCCCCAGTATTCAACCACTACCTTTCAGCCTACTATTGCTCGACCAGCATGGCCTTTCCCACATTAGGCTCGTATGGTTGACGTAGTGAACCAATTTATTCCTTCAGGTATATAATATCCCATATCATCTAGTCCTCCCCACTCTGGTCGAGTCTAAATAACTCGATTCAAGAGTTATTTTGTGTTTGCCTCTTTGATTTATTGGCACCTCGAACCTCTCGCTAGTTTTGTCTCTGTTCTTTGACCACTTAGATGGCTTTCTCTTTAATTTCCCTCTGTTCTTTTTCCCTTTATCATTACTACAGCTTTATTCTGCCACGCATCCTGTTTGTCAGTATCTCAATCATCATGTCTCCTCGCGCTTTGCACCGTTTCGTTATCTGCACCCTTTAAACTCTCCCAACCGTTGGATTTTACTTTAATCCAACGACTATCTTCATTAACTCTTCGTCTTGCTTTCCTTACACACATAAATACCCATACTTAGCAATTTTCTGACTTTTCTCACCTTTCCAAATCTCGAATTCTCTTGTGCCCTAACTTTCTTCGCGATTTACACTTCCTGCTCTCGGCGCTTCCATTCTCACCGTCTCTAAATTTTCCGGCGACCTTCTCTCCACTACGATAATGAGTAAGTTCTCTATACTTTGAATTTGTGGTTGTGTGTTTCTCTTTGATAATTTTCGAGTTTTCCGATTTATCAATTTTCCTTTTTCGAAACTTCATTCACACCCTAGCCACAAAATCTTCCCCTTTTTCTTCTCTGTTCACCCTCGAGAACCCTAAAGGTCTTCCCTTTAACATCTTTTACCCTTATTTTTCAGATTCCGCTACCTCCAATGAGAACGAACACTATTCCAGTAATGACATGACTACCCTGTCGCCCTCAATTCGCCACCCTATTCCCCATTCTCCCTCAAATTCCGTTGAGGAAATTTACGATGTTGTTCCTCTCTACGTGCTTCGCCCTTCAGATTATTCCACACTTTCTCCTCCACCTCAATCTTCCCTTCTGATTGATGAGTCAGAAGAGGATATTCTCGACAACATTCCTCTCACCCGTCGCAGTCGACCAGACTTTGGTGCTTCTGATGCAGTCGAAGCAGCCCTAGACGCCACTGAAGCAGCTCGCGATAATAGTGAGGACCACGTTCCTCTTTTCCAACATACTATTCCTTCCAAATCCCCTTCCTCGAGCAAATCTAAAACGACTACCACTTCTTCCAAACCAACCTCAAAGAAGAGGTCGACCAAACCCTCTTCTTCTAAGAGGCCATCTTCATCCTCTCTTATTGCAGGATGGATAGATGTCGATGATGTCGGCCATCCTGCTGACTGAGCCTTCAGATCCCCTGGTCCCCAAGATTCATACGACAACCCTCCCAGCAACTGTTATACTTTTTCCAAGATCCAGTTCAAACTTGGTGTCTGTTTCCCTCTTTGCCAAGAGGTGATCGATTTGTGAGTGGTTCGGTCGTCCCCTGAACCAACTGTTGGGTTCTATGAGGAACGTCAACGACATGCACAGTATTGAACTTATCGAAATAAATCCTAACGCAGTGGAATCTATAGTTAGGGTTAGGACATTACCCTTTAAAATTTTTGCCGACTCAGAGACATTTCTGATTTCCTTTGATGGAGATCGTCTGATTACCACAACTCAATTTGGTTGAAGAGTTTGGCCTTTGTCGACTCTAGTCAAGTGTTGAATCACGAACGGATCACCATAACGAACTTCTCGGGCTCGCGCCGGCTGGGCAGGTTCGGTTCAATCTCGGGTCGGGTCGGGTCGCAGCGGTTTGGGTCGCGGACAGGTGCGAGTCACGGGCAGGCACGGGTCGCGATCTGGCCGTGTGGTGCGTGCCGCTGGTAGGTCGCGTCAGGTCGTGACGCGCGGGGTAGCAGATCGCGTGGTGC